GGGTCTGCCTCCCCCCACCTCGAACGCTTCTACGCTGCGAAACCTCTGTCGGGTGCCGCCGCCGCATAGAGCGGAGCAGTCGCTCCACTCGCTCCAATCCCCCAGCTCGCAGTCCGACGGGCAGGGACCCGCAGGAGAAAAGCAGGCGGCTTCCTCTCGCGTGGCGCCACAGGCCAGTCCTGGAGGATCCACGGAGGCGGCTGAGGTGATTCGCCGGGAGCGGAACATCTGCCCCTCTCCACAGGGGGCGGAACACGTAGACCACTCGCTCCAAGGGGACATCTCGCAGTCCGTCGCTGTATCACACAGCCAAAATATCCCGCACCCAGCATGTTGCATTGATGCCTCTGTATACCGAATCCGTGTCTTGATGCTCCTGCTGCTGCATTGTGGCTGTGCTTCGGCATGTGGCTGCGGCGATGGGCCGCCGAAGGGACAGGAGGGCCCAGCTGCTTACGACAGGGATATGACCCGCATACTTGGGTCTCCGTAAGCACGGGACACTCTCGACCGCCGTTGGCTGCCCGCCTCACCACTGAGCGCTGCCGCTGCTGCTGGCCTCCCCCACATGTGGCGGTGCAGCTGCTCCAGGCGCCCCATGCAGTCACCTGGCAGTCAACAGCTGCAACCAGAAGCGGCAGAGACATACAGAAGAGAGAAGTCTCACTTTAAGCATGGACATACAGAGAAGCAGCCGCAGGCAGAGGAAGGCTTGCAGGCGGCTATGCTAAAGCGATCTTGTGTCGGCTAGTTGGGGCTGTAGGAGACCCCCTACAACCCAAGAGCCCTCAGCTGCCTAATACTGATTGTGGGCACGTCTCTATTTTTCTGTAAGACCGCGTGGGTCTGAGCTCACGGCACGGCGGTCCCTGACACGCTTCAAACCGTTCGGAGTCTGTACAAAGGTTCTGCATCACTCTGCCGCTGGCGTCTTTAGGAAAGGCAAGGACAACACGGGTGGATCTTCGGCGGCCGGCCCCGCAGGTGGCATCGCAGGGGCCGTACTCAGACCACTCCCCCCAGACGCACTCCGGCACTGCCTGTCCTGCCATCTCTTCACAGGGCGTCGTGGCGCACGGTGCTTCTTCAGCCAGCTCTCCGCAGGCCTTGCCGTTCCCCTGCGGCACGCGCGTTATCTCGCGGGTGCGCCGGCGGGTGCCGCCCCCGCACGGCCTGCTGCAGGCAGACCACTGAGACCAAGGCCCCACTTGACAGTCAACGTCGCAACGGAAACCCAGGGAGGAGCAAAGCACAGACTCCGTCAGGCTAGAGGGGTTCGGGCAGTCTGGGGCCTCCAGAAGCACCACGCGGCTTCGCGTCGTCGTGGGGTTTGTCGCTCCAA